GTCTCTCACGATCTCTAGCAGACTCCACCTTTGCTCGTTCAAGATTTTCCTTTTCGAGGTCTGGAAGATACTGCTGCCACGACTTTGAACCAGACGATCTCGCAAGTGCAGCGGTCCCAGGAACGAGCGTAATGGCATGTTGCGGGTCAGTGGTCAAGAATGGGACCCCCGGATTGTCTGTTAACGGTGCCAGACCTTGATAGAATTCACTTTGCTTAGCTAATTCACTTCAGTCACCCATTTTAGGGTACCCCCGAGGTATATGAATTCTTTGATTTAAGGGTACCTCAAGGGTACCCATTCCAGAGTGGTATGTGAGCACCATACCAATACCATGGTACCATGGAATGGAAAACTCATACCATATCCCACTCATACCAATACCAAGTTACCATACCATACCATGTCATGTTATACCATACCAGATGGTATGATACCATCATACCAAAGCTGTCACAGGGTGTCTGGGGTCCTTTTCCAAAATAAATAAATAAATTCTGCAGGCTGCAATACTGGTCCATTGGGTACCATTTTTTGTGGGGTGGTTCTCCATGTTTTTCTTGAGATATTGAACTACAAATTGAGGCTAGATAGTCCAAACCATCTATTGAAAATGAATTTAAATAGGCTTTATCCCAGCTTTTCTCATGCATCCAAAGCCATTTAATGATACATGTCTTTCCCAGTCCTTTCTATTTGAACAATATTCATCCAAATCAAACAATACCACATCTATTGGGATGAAGTGGTCATTGAGAAGCAAAGAAAAGTGGAAAGGTTCTTCAGGTTTTTTCTAAGATTTCCAACTCCAAGTGGAGGCTAGATAAGTCAACTCCAACCTTTGGAAATCAGTTCAATTGAGGGTTTTTTCATTTCTAAAAAGCCATTAATATGAATCCTCCCAATAATAGGTCAAATATATTTTGCCCAGTAGGGCCAATCAGGCAGTCCTACCTACTTACATAGCATGTACATATAGTATGGCCAACAACAGCATATAATCTCAATTTTCTTAAAAAGTACATATGATGGAATCAGGTATTGTTGTGGCCAAAGTCTTCTTTGTCATAATATTTGGTCCAATTTATTGAAGCTGAGTGAATCTGTCCAATCCAAAGTCTTGTTAATTGGAAATAGAATCAAGTCTTGTTGTCCTAAGAGTCTTCATTATCAAAATATCATACCATGGTATTGCACTCTCATACCATACCATACCATACCATGGTATTGCACCCTCATACCATACCATACCATACCATGGTATTGCACCCTCATGCCATACCATGTACCCTCATACCATACCATGCACCCTCATACCATACCATGCACCCTCATACCATACCATGCACCCTCATACCATACCATGCACCCTCATACCATACCATGTACCCTCATACCATACCATGGTATTGCACTCCCATACCATACCATACCATACCATACACCATACCATACCATACCACACCATACCATACTATACCACACCATACCATGCATCCTCATACCATACCATGGTATCAGGAACCATAATTTATTTTTATTTAAGCAGAGGAAGTCAGAAAACCCTCATTTCGAAGTTTGTTTACATATATTTACCAATAGCTTTGACCAAAGTGATGCTGAAATTTTGTAGTGTCCGCTTTGATGTACGCACTATTTCCTAATTGGGCCATTTCCTAATTGGGAAAAGCGTTACACTTTTTTCTGCCACACCTAATGTCAGGCACAGTGTGCAGTTAGGTTGGGAACTGTTTCCCACGCTCTTTGGGCCACTGGAGTTAGTGGCTAGCTTAGTGTTGTCACTGTTCATG